GCATTGGGGAGTCTGGAGGAACAACATACTGGAGACAGTGCAATAGGTGTCTGCGATTCCCTATTTTGAAAAGCAGAAAGACCCCAATTGTAAGAATCATGAGTTAGCAGGGATGGGGAAAAATCCCCATCTGCTTTACTCATGAAGTCTGTGAGTGACAGTCATTTTTTATATGATACAGTGATGATAATAATATACACACACACCACTGGATAAGCAGCTTGTGGTTTTACAGAAACACCCCATCTCCACAGTGAGCATTATAGAAGTATACAGATTTAGTGCTAAGATATAATATTCAGCATATCTGACCAGGCAACCAGCCACCAGGTGGGATCCTGAAATAATGTATATCAATGAAATAGGATACAAAATAATAATAATATGTCAACAGATGTGTGTAGAATCATCACAAGAGGAACATGATGCCTGCTTGAGGAAGATACAGCTATGTTGTGCAGATAAAGAGTGACAAATTTATTGGGATTGTCAATATACCAGCCCGAACAATCTCCTCCAAAGGAACACATTGCAATGGGTTCAATGAGAGAACCAGGCAGAACAAAGGAACATGTCTGATCCCATGTCTCAGCTCAGGAACTTGCCCCTCATATAGAGTCTTTCCTTGTCTGTACCATTTACCCTTTTCCATTCCTTTCATGTGGCCCATCTGCCTAAAGTCACATATGAAGCTGAAGCATGGTGACGTTGGGATGAAAAAAGTTCAATCACAGTTGTTGAAGGAGTGATGAGGACAGAGAAAAGGGCAAGGGCTGTTGCTCCAGTAAAGGGCAGAGAACCACGTCTGAGCTGGCCAAAATGGATCAACTAGCAGAACACAAGGAGTGGTCTGGATAAATAAAATACCCAGGAGATGAGTCTGATCAGAGAGTAGGTATATAGGTGACGACCCCTCCAATATTGACTGAAAGCCTCCACCCCCAAAGCTGAAGGGTGAGGAATTGGAAACCAAAATGGAAGGAAGTTTGGCATTACAGTGAGTGGGAAATGCATACATATGTGATGTTCCCAATTGAGAACACACCCACTTAAAAACCTGAGAACGAAGGGACCACTCCGTGGAAAGAACCTGGTTGAGATCTGGACTTGTTTCCCCCTTGCTTAGTGATATTGCTGATGACAGTGGAATTGTCAGAATGAACCATAACCAACTTCCCCTGCAGGAATGGAAGGAAATGATACAGAGCCCGATGAGCTGCCAAAGGTTCCAGGATGTGGATATGGAGAGTAGCCTCCCCAACTGACCACCAACCCTAAATCACTGGGAATCGAGAAAAGCCCCCCCCCCAACCTACCAAGGAAGCATCTGTGAACAGATGAGACTCGGAATGAGGTGGAGGAATGGGAACCCCCACTGTGGTCAAGTCCCTTATGAGCCACCAAACAAGAACAGCCCTGACCCCAGGTGGAAGGGAGATGTTCCAAAGGATTATGGGGAAGTTCCACGGGATGAGAAATATCCAATGAAGGGAATGCATGTGTACCTGACCTAAGGGAATGAGAGCTTCTAAGGAAGCCCACATCCACAAAAAAAAGATAGAACATCTCAAGCAGAGAGAGAGAGAGAGAAAGAGAAGGTAGAGCCTGCGTGACTACTTGCTCCATATCCTGGAGCCAAAGTGGAGAAGGCTAAGCTCAACAAAGACAGGAAGTGAAGAGAAACCTCAAATGAATATGAAACTGTGAAGGAATAGTAAAGAACTTCATCGACTTGATGAGAAACCCCACCCAAGCAGTTTCTTAAAGAAGTAAGGGGGTGTGGGTGACTGACTGGGCATGGGCAGAGAGAAGCAGAAACCAGTCATTCACGTGATGGTGAGTCCAAAGATCCTGCAAGTGAAGATGACATGAAAAAGAGCATACCACTTGACAAAACACATGTGGAGCTGAAGAAAGACCGAATGGCAGAGCCCAGTACTGGAAGAAGGAACCCTCATGGGTGAATTGAAGAAAAACGATGTGTCACTGGGACAAAAAACCCACCAACGTGAGAGGTAGAACTCCATGGTGAAGTGAGGATCTATAATGGGACTCCAATCTTCCATGTCTTTGGAGCCAACAAATAGACAGGAGTAGAATCCAAGTTGAGTGGTCATGACTCGTTTTATAGCTCCTTTGTGTGATATGTCTCGAACAGACTTGACAAGACGACTGGATGAGGTACGATCCCAGGGAGAAGGGAAGGAGATCTGGGAAGTGGATAGAGAGGGAGTGAAATAGAAAAAGGCAGAAACCCTCAGATAGAACCTGTAGAACCCATGGAACTGTCGTGAAGTGTAGCCAAAAAAACACATAAATGAAACATACTTAAAGAAAGTACTCATTACTAATCAACAAACAAAACTTAGAAATGTGTAGAGCCTACAAAGAACATAAAAATTAATAAACCTACAAACTATGAAATTAAAATCTAAAACATAAAACAATTAGGAACACTTAAAGTA